TAAGTAAATGTGTATTAAATATACAGAAAAATATTTTCACTTTTATCATCATAACTTAAAAAATATCCATTATAATATGCTATTTAAAATACATATAAATTTATGAGGTATAAGGGCTTGGTGATATGATGTTATGAACTTCAGTTGGGTTTATGAACCAATCAGAGATAGATCTCATATATTATACACTAATTTAAATAATTTCTTTTTTGCTATTTAATTAGTGTACACAGTTTCCTCAAACCTTTCAACACATCATTTCACTAAAGTGCACCTTGAAAAGATATGTTGAAATACATACATATCCACATGTACAAACGTGGATGTACACAACATTAAAAGCATGCAATGTGTCTAAGCATTTATGTTCATTATATTTTTCAAGTGGGAAAATAAGTATAGCATGATCTACCAGGCTCCAGTGATCTAAAATATATATTTTATAGAGAAATATAGGTCCAATTGTTGCAATCCAAACTTTTGTATCACGAAAAGGATTGGCTGATTTTCTCAGAGGGGTAAATGCTTCCAATTTTATCAGTTATGTCGTATAAATTATACTGAGAACAAATCCTTCGTTTCTTTTAAGAAAAGCAAACTTTTAAAATTAACTTACATTATTTCCATTTTCTATAATTAGATTTCTTTAGAGAAGTACATTGTGTGCCACACCATCAGTGGAGTTATTGACAATGCACTCACAGGTGTTGAAAGCACTGTCTGTATTTTCTTGCCAAATACAACCAAATTGGTATATGAAAACCTCAGTGTAAAAATGGAAGGATGATTCTTAGCTTTGTGTTTTTTCACAGTTGAAGTCCTCCATTTCCTCTTTACAATGCGAAACAGATGAAATGATTTTTTTCTGTGGTTCCCTCTATCTTTTACATCCTGAAACATGTACAAAAGTGAACTCACTTAAATGGTGTGTATTCACCATAATGTGACATCATCAAACAGCATATATGTAGAAATAAAGGCTTTTCCCCTCTTATTTATCAGAAGGCCAAAGGCAGCAAATTATTTATGTGTTCTTAGTCTCTTCTGTGATGGAGTAACAACATTCAAAACTATTTATCCATGTAATATTCTCTCGGTAGCAGGAGTAAAAGGTGCTTTAGAGGAACTGCAGGAGACTCCCTTCTACAATCTACGTCCGCCCCTTCCAAAGCTAATAAAATATTCTGTCCACACAATAACACCCAGGTCGTGCTCACATGGCTTCCAGAAATTCCCTGAGCCCTCCTTTCAAAATAGATGTCAGTCTCTAACTCCTAAGCTGATGTTCATATCGTCACAGAATAACTTGACAATTTGCTAAATGGTAGTATCAATTATGTTGACTTATTTCATAATATTGGGAAATTAGAAATATCTCAAATAGCTAGGTTAGTGCCTTCACTTTATAGAGAAGAAAACCTAGCCCAGCTTACTTCTCATGGGTCACATACCTAACAGCAACTATGAGAGGAAAACTCAAACCCCTTTTTCCACAATCACCTTTGTGTTCACTTAGGGGTTATTAATTGTTTTTGGTCTTTATTCATTTTTCCTCAATCAAAATACTTTGAAAGTGTTTGAACAGCTCATAGCACTTAAGTCCTATATTATCTGATTGGAGCAGTGGAAATTTCTTCTTTATTTGATGCCAAACTGACCTAAGCACAATCTAGTAATTGTAAAGAAATTGCAGTAAAACATATAAGTAGAAAATTAGTTGAAATGACATTTAAAACAAAATTCTTTTCATCTAATTTTTATAAGTTTTTATTTAGCATTATTGAATATATTCACCTTACCATTTGCATTGTGAAAAGTTTATTAAAATATGTATAGGTGTACATCCAAAAATAGTACTTAAATTAAGATATTTTCTCCAAACAATAGAGAAAATTTATAGTAACTTATTTCTTGAATTAAGTATGAAATTGGATGGATGGATGGATGGATGGATAGGTGGGTATAGACACAGATGTTGATTTTAATTGTACGACTGTGGAAATCATTTATTTCAGAAATTTCTAAAATAATTGGATAAGTAGGTAAATTTTAATCACGTAAGATGCATTTCAGGTCACATATTCTTTAACTGCCATATAAAATCTGTCCATTTACCATTTTCTACCATAATGGTTTTAGACATAAGTAGATATCAAAATTTACATTAAGGACACTCTTCTAGCCACAAAACAATTTACACCAACTGGAGCTGCACATATCATGTGCATTATCACTGTCCCTAAAATTGTAGCGCAGTGTCCACCTAATCCTTTGATAGCTAGCAAGTCTTTAGCCATTCATTACACTTTATATCACTTTACCTGCAGAATTCTGTATCTGCGTGCATTTGGGTTCTTCCATCCTACTGGCAAGACACAGTGACGATACACTGTGCATACAGGGAAAAATAAAATAACTTTTACCAATAGTTCAACCTTCCAATATTACATGTAATTAACTTTGGTTTCCTTTCTAAATTAGGTATCTTAAGGAAATGATTATCATATCCAGAGCTCTATAAAATATAGGACCATGTGGTCTACAAAATTATCTTTATGTTGCCATAGTTACAGGAGTTGGCTTGTAAATTTCATGTTAAAATTAAAAGAAAAAACAAGTACGTTTGCCTTCACCAATTGCAACTGTAAGCAAATGCAGGTACACAGCACTTTATTAGTAAGAACTCCTTTAGTAAGCACACGTTAGAGGAATTAATCACTCATTCCCTGCAGACTGCTTATGTATTTCATCAGGCCATTATCTGATCAGAATAACAAGAACAACTGCATAATAAGACACATTTCTGCTGACACTGGCAACTTTCTTCTTTCAACTTCAAAGTTGTAACTCCTTCTGTAGAGCACAGAAAGCTAGTGGCAAAAAAAATTATCAATTTAATCACTTCATCTTGATCTGACTTTTTTATCTGTCACTATATTAACAGTGATCAAATAGGTGTGCAGGCTTTTCACTAGAACAGCCTCATTGAGGTTATGTTCCCTAGCAGTATGACATAATTACAATAGAGACAGAGTGTGTCAGGTTAGTTTTAATGTTAATTGTAATTATTTGCTCTCAAACATTCAACCAGGATGAAATATTTTTTCCTGTCTTTTCTTATTGTGGAAAATATATCCTGTAGTAAAACAAATCTAATAGAGTGTTTGAACTACTCCTAAATTGGACGACCAACAATGTTTCCTCCATTTTTCAATTTTTTTCAAATATCACTTATCCTGTCTGAAATCTGAGGTCACAAATGGATAGAGGTCATATGCTATAATCAAAATCTGACCAACCTAGGAATTTATTGAAAGTAAATTAATTTCTTTTAAAACCAATAATAGAAATGGCAGCTGAGGACAGTAATACCTCTAAAAAGTCATTTGGTTGAGACATAAAATCATTTTCAAGAAACAATGACATCTCTTTCCCAAATGATTTCTTTCCTGTCAACAAATTTATCAACAGTCCTATTGTCCTATCTCATCACTTCAAAAACTTATGTCCCAAGATATTTAAAGCTTTGAACATTGAGTAATCATAATTGTAGAAGACCTACCTATTTTTAGCTATTATTCATTTGTTTGCTCTCACAAATTTTAAAAATAATGCTCAATGAACACAGCCGGTTTATATACTTGAGTCAATATGCAGATAAAAATACTCAACTTGCCATTATCAAAAATTAAAAATGAAATATCTTTAGTTATTATTCGGAAAATAAGCTATTTGACTGAAAAGAACTTCTCTATGAGATCAGTAGTTGTAATTTTCAGTTAGGTTTACAACTTTTGCTCGGTTTTAACACAAAAAATTAAAAGTTAAAAATAAACTTTTTTCTAATCACTATTGTACACCTGTCAATGTAAGTGCCATCGGGTCCAATAACTTTGAAATTGTTAAACATCAGTTTTGTTTTACCCAAATTGCAATTTCTACTGTACCTACTGTAACAATGCAAGAGGAATTAGATTCAGAATCCATTTGGCAGTGATAAAGAGAAAAAAATTGCTGAAATGTTATTGATTCTCTGTGTGCAGAACGAACTGACTCAACTATATTTTTCCTGACATAACACAAAGGTTTTATTTAGATATTACAAAATACTGGCAAATGTTAAACTACAAATCATTTTTTAAGATGCCACTAACCCTTGCACAGAGAACGGAAGACTGCCCTGCTTGCTTTCACCGAAATGCTGCGGCCACGGATTTGGTGATGTTAGCCCCAAGAGAATTATTGTCTGCAAAAGTTTTGCTGCAGAGAAATTCACACTTAGGAGACACCTTAAACCTGCCCCTGGTCGCTGAGCCTCTGTCACAGCGTATAACCTGCTGTGTCAAAGCCATCGCCTTAGCTCTTGTCCTTTCCAAAGCATTTTCCCATTCCCTCTCCAATTTAAATTCATTCAAATTCTTCAAGGGGGCTCCTTGTATGATTTCCTGCACGTTCACAAGCCTATCTGTTACCACCGGCATGAAGAAACCTCCACGGGATTTTCACCTGATCTTTCAAAGCCGTCTTTATCAGCTTTCCTTGACCCATTTTTAAAGTGCTCCTTCTAGTTAAAGATGAAACAACCCACCCACCGAAGTCGAAGGACGATGCAAGTTGGGGTGGGTTAGGGTTAAGGGGTGAGGGCGGCGGGGATAGTGAGCCAATAGGGTTAGGATTCTCAAGCTTTGTCTAAGTAGCAGCCCTTCAATCTTAGACTCAACCAACGCTTTCACAACCCAGGCTTCCGACAGCTCTTGAACAATAAGCGCTTAAAAATCAGATTCCCAGGAAGCCTGCCCAGACAGAAGTCTTCTGAGCCCTGCTCCTCCTCAAACAAACAAAAGCAAAAATGCTCAGCAAACCACTTCTCCAACAGGAACTCCTTAAGTTATGTAAGTCAAGTTCCTCCCTGGTCAGAGGAACAAAGTGTCCACACCAGGGGCAGGGCAGCGGGCGCACGCCTCACTTTGGAGACAGCAGCAGGGAGGCAGTTTACTTACTGAAGCAGCCGCTCCATTGCTCCTTGGAAACCCCGAGGAGTCTTCTCTTTTCTCTCCTCCAGTCAGGCAGAGAACTGTCTTTCTATTCCACACAGGCCCAGAATAAACTGGAAATAAATAAATTTTTAAAAAAAATTTAGAAAAAGGGGAGGACAGCACATGCACAGCAGCCCGTCCGGGTCCGGCTGCGGCGGGGCGCCTCGCGCGTGCTGGCCGTTTCACAAGTGGGAGCCCCTCCGCTCCGCGAGGAGGAGGCGACGGCAGACACACGCGCGAGGAC